CCAGTCCATCCTCGCAGTGGGAGCACCCGGGCGTTTCCTCCCGCCCGATTCGGTGCAGGAACCTCCCAAACACACCGTGTCCGGTGAGGACCTGCGTCAGGCGGAAGGTGAGGATGCCGTGGCGTCTCTCAAGCCACTCCTCAAAGTGGGGTCTTATCGCCGCTATAGTGGCGTGCCCAGCACGGGGTTGCGACAGTCGCTGTCTCCATGTCGCCATGAGATCGTGCCGGAAGTCTGTCCGCTGCGCGACAACTTGCCGCGGCAGCGGGGTTTCCCCACGGCACTGTGCCTCCGCACGCCATTCGTGCAGGCGCGCGAGGACTATCGCCTCCAGATCCCATGGCGGCAATCCGGCAAGGAGGCTCGCCGCCTCGCGGGAGATCGTGCGGTAGCCGCGAACCATTTTCACGGCTATCACCCTTTGGGGCGCGTTCAGGTGGTGGACGGCAAGCCGCGCCAAACCACGCGCCCACACCGGGGCCCCGTAAAGGACCATGGACCGCACGATCCCCGCGTAGAGCCTCCGGCAGGAGGCGTTTGGCCCTCCCAGGTTCGGCAGGAGCCGCCTGAAGGCAGCCCCGGTCCGTTCCAGTTTGAATGGGGTATACAGATCAAGTCTTTTCCATGCGCATGATCGCGGAGAAGTTTTGGCGAAAAACCTAAAAGTTTTTTGTGCGTTCATGGACTTGGAAAAGGCTTATGACAGAGTGGACAGGGATGTGTTGTGGCAAACGCTGAACGCATTTAGGTTGAGCGCTGGTTTGATACAGGCATTAAAGTCTCTGTATAGGGACTCGAGTGCTTGTGTTAGAATCAACGGGGTCTACTCGGACTGGTTTGGCATCCATAAAGGTGTCAGACAGGGCTGTGTAGCTTCCCCGTGGCTGTTCAACCTATTTATGGACAGCTGTTAAGAAAATTTGAAAGTTGAAGAATGCGGGTTAAGAATGGGTGAGTTAATCATCAAATGCCTTTTGTACGCCGATGATCAAGTCATACTTGCGTCATCGGCGGCCGAGTTGCAAATGATGGTTACATTAATAAACAGGTCATTAAAAGAAAGAGGAATGAAAGTGAACGCAAGTAAGACGAAAGTGATGGTTTTTGAAAGAGATGAAAGCGAAACGGTATGTGAAATAAGAATAGAAGGAGAGTTAATTGAGCAAGTGGATGAGTTCGTATATTTGAGATGTGTATTCAGCAGGGATGGGAGATATGATAAGGATATTGAACGACGAGTGAATGCAGGAAATAAAGTAAATGGGGCTCTACACTCTATTGTGAAAAGTCAGAATGTGTCAAAAAAGGCACGTATGGCAATTCACAGTGCTGTATTAGTCCCTACTTTAACGTATGTGTAGTGAAAGTTGGGTGTAGCAGAAGAAGCACGAGAGTAGAATAAATGCAGTAGAAATGCGGTCGCTAAGGAGTATGTTAGGGCTGAATCTTAATGTGACTGGGTGAGAAACTGTGTGATAAAAGAAGAGTGTGTTTTGCAAGATGATGCAGTGACCAGGATTAAGAAAGGAATGCTTCGGTGGTTTGGTCATGTAGAAAGAATGAATGCGGAAAGACTGACAAAACAAATATATGTTGCAGAAGTGAATGGAAGAGTCTGAAAGGGACGTCCTAGGCGGAAGTTTGTCGACCATATTGGCGATATACTAAAAATGGGCCAAATTAAGAGTACCCTTAACCGACGAGCATGTACGCGTAGGTATATGGATGGGGAAGAGGCGAGAAAGGTATGTCAGGATCGTGCTAAATGGAAGTTTGTAGTCTCTGCCTACCCCTCTGGGTGACAGGCGTGAGTGTTTATGTATGTTTTTATGTATGTACATTTGAATATTCTGTAATTTTTCTTCATCTATAGCTAATTGAACAGCTTCGTTTAAGGTTTGAGGATTTCTACACCTAACAATAGTAGAAATAGCAGGGTTTAACCCTAATAAAAATGTGTTTAATGCTAGATCCTCCATGGCGGCTATTCTACCTGGAAGTTCGTCAGGAATTTTGCAGCTATAGTGTATATCTGACTAAATTTTTGTTAAAATTTGTTCTAATTTTAAAGAAAATTTAGTAACGTCGTCGGAAGACTTTGCAGTTTTGCAAATCTGATAATAAATTTGTTGAGTGTTTTTTCTCCCCAAAAGTAGAACGAAGAAATTACTTTATTTGGTCCCATGTTTCAAAATTTTTTAAACTACATGCGAGAGCTTTTCCCTCTAGCTGTGAGATAATGAATTTGCACAAAATAGGCTATTGTTCTGGCGTAGCTAACGATATTGCATTATTATCATAGTTGGTAAGAAAAGCGGGTAGGGATTCCTTCTCCCCATTATAGGATTTTATAAATTTCGTCAAAAACGAAAGTGTGATTTTTCTGACATATTGTCTTTACTTTTCTCTGCTTTAAGCGACATAGAAATAAAATTAAAATTTAAACATATACAAGTTAATCACAATAAAATGACCTTAAAAGGTTATAGTACAAAACAGTGTAAAATAAAGGTAAATTTAAAATTTAAATTAGAAAACAAAACAACTTACAGGAAAATAATAACTTCTATACGTTGCATTTACTCGTAACAATAGCTCGGTGACACGCTACACTCGTGGCGGCTGGCGGGCGGAATCGCTGACACGGTGACTCCGTCACGTCGTGGGAAATAGCAGGAATAGAAGATGTAGAATATTCTTCAAATATTTTTCTTATGTTAACTCACCAACATGTTAACCAACCCAGCTGGTGCGGGCTCCTGGTGGAGGCTGATCGTCGGCCAGACGGGTGATTTCAGGACCAGGTGTGAGTGGAGCGGGCTCACGCTTCAGAGCGGAGGCTGATCGACGTCCAAAATTGTGGTAGGCGCAGGCTTAGGCACGGCTAGGGCTTAATGTCGACCTTGGTGATTTCGGGGACCTCGGATTCGGATGCCAAAGTCTTTTATGACCTTCTGTTTGGCATTCCACTTCTGACACCAATTTGTTAGGAGGCCGATCCCGTTTGACTTTTTAAAAAAGAAACACCAAATAAACCTAAAGGTTTATTGCAAAAGTTCACACACCAAATTAATATAGTCCTTGACTTCCGAACTAATACGTCTCGGAATCTATGTCCGATCTACCCGGGGTTCTGAGTCTAACTGAACATTAAAATTGAATTAAAACGAACATGGAAAGGAATAATATAATTGCTGACTATAGCTATATTAAGGAAAAGTACTGTGTGATTAAATAAATGCTTACTAATATTTTATTGCCTTGTAAAATGGGATATAACAGCTCGTTATACTATGAATATTATTAGTTTCTTATTTTAATTTTTTAGTTAATTATTATTATGTCAGGATCATGCTAGTCAGCTGTACCTCAAAACCTGAAAACGAGACTGTACCACCAGTGCGTGTTGCCAGTGATGACCTATGGAATTGAGACGTGGTCCTACACTACTGGCCGTATGAGAATGCTCAAAGTCGCTCAGTGAGCTATGGAGAGGGCTATGCTCGGGGTTACTCTGCGTGATAAACTTAAAAATCAGGATATCCGCATTAGAACTAGAGTGACCGACATAGCCCAACGGATTAGTAAGCTGAAGTGGCATTGGGCCGGCCGTGTAGCTCAAAGAAGCACCAACCGTTGGGGAAAAAAGGTTCTCGAGTACCTTGTATCGGTAGGTGAAGTGTAGGGTGACCCCCCACTAGATGTAATGACGACCTGGTAAGACATGCAGGAAATCGATTGTTACAGGTGGCTCAGGACCGTGCTTTATGGCATACCTTTAGGGAGGCCTATGTTCAGCAGTGGACTTGTGAAGGGTTGTAATGATGATGATGATGAAAGATAATGCAAATAGCAATAAAAATGCTATAGAAGTGTGGATTCTCCTTTAAACAATAATAGAAAAAATTACTACTTTTTGTAATACTTTATTATAAAATCTAATCAAAAAATAAAAACTTATTTGGCAGACAAACCCGAATGGGTTAATTAACTTATCGATAGCAAATGTTGTGGCATACATCACTACAGTGCAGTGCTTTCGGTTGTAGATATACCAGTTAATTTTACAAAAATACCATACATTTACTACGAAGTGGCAAGTTTCGATTCGAATTATTTGGCCTTTACTTTGTATAATATTTTGATAAAGACTAGTTATCGATTATATTAAATTATAATTTATTCAGAATCGTGTTGGGATTGAGCTAAATATTTTATAGTCCGTTCGCGTTAAGAAAATAGTGAGTCATCGTTGTCCGCCGGCCTGGCCACGCCCCCCAGCCAATTAAAATGCAAGAAATTAGAAAGTCGAGTTCACAGTGACCAGTTGAAGTCTTCAAACAAAACGGTTGTGTATTTTGCGTGTTACTCGTTCAACATTAAACTTTGAAAATGAATCCTCACCTATTCGAAAGAATAAAAGTGGATCAATAATCCATAGCGGAGAGAGACGCGTAGTTTACAATGTTTGTAAGTATTTTTTAAACTGTGATTTAAATGCGACTGTGGAGAACACAGTAATAAAAACAGCAAGTGCATGTGGTGTGTCCGAAAATACTGTTTATAAAATTATTAAAGAACAAAAGAATACACATTAAAACATAAAATTTGGATGACATCGTGGAACTTGCAGAACAAAATTCTTTCATAATTAATGTAACTGGCGAATCTAGCGAGACTGATTAGTGATTTAAGTAATTTTAAGAAAATTTGTTTCCATTAAACTTAATTAAATGTTTGAAAAAAAAAAGAATTTTTACTCCACTGTGAATAGACCTTTACTTTTTTAATGTTTTTTAATGTAATTTTGATTAAGATTAGGTCAGGGTTGGATTCAGACCCTCAAAAATATTGTACATGGAAAATAAAATTATACTATTTTTAGATCTCCAATATATTATTGTAGTAGGCTACCATTAAAGTTAACTGAGGTTCATAAGGAGACAATCCAATCCCCAAGAACTATCCATAATTTTAAAGCTCATCCTGCTCCCAAATATATGTTAGAGAAGCCTCAAATACCTACCAAGCCACTTGTATGCACTACTAAAGCATTTAGTTCAAATTTCCATTATAGACGAGGTCATTGGGCTGAACAAATTAAGTATGATAAGAAAAATAACATCCTCATGAAGGAAATACGCATACAGAAAAAGCCAAAGCCTTGTGAAATTGTTCCAAGACATGGACCTGTATACCCAGAACCTTTTTCATTTGAAAAGAGGGATGAAGAGGTGAAAAAACGCAGGGAAGAAAGAATTAAAAGTCAGTTGGAGGAAGAAAGGGAATTAGCGTCTCAGTATAAGGCCCAGCTTTTACCACCTGCAGTGAAAAGTTTTTAAGGGTTCACTCTTTGAGTATTCAAACAAATGGGGAGGCCATGCGAGTTAATACCTTAAAAACATCTGTCAATATCAGAGGGGCGACAAACACACTACTGTATACTTCACTACAAATGCAAAATTGAATCGCGTCCCTGTATACGCACACTACAGCATTTGTGTGTTCATTGCATTTACGCATACCATCAAATTGTACACGTGTTGATACACTGGTGCCGCTGTCTACATGCGTAAGCAACGTAAGGCGAGGACTATGTCGATCATTTTTTTAAAAGAATATTAACAATGCTATAAACATTACTAATATTCCCCTTAACCACTCGCGGTAAGCTTAAATTGCTTGTGTTACGAGTGGTTCACGCCAGTAGTCGAATGGCGGATTCGAACCCACGACCTTTTTGAGTTCGCGGTCCGCGCCCTGCCATTAGGTTACTGTCGCTTATAAATATCATCATCATAGTCCGCATAAGTTCAGCGTTGGTAAAAGTGATTTTTTCACTCATTACTTACAGCCTTTTACAAGACCGCTGCTGAACATAGGCCTCTACCAAGGGGTGCCACAAAGCACGATTCTGATCCACCTGCATCCATCAACTTCCTGCATGTCTTGAAATAATATTAGTTTTTACGGAATTTATCGCGTATATTTAACTTTTTAAATACCCGATGTTTCGAACGCTTTAAACAGCACTCGTGGTCACGGGCGGGACTGAGATGTTCAACGTCCAGATGTCATAGTTAACCGCGGTTACCATAGATTAAAATTTAACTTTTGTTCCGATCTACACAGTATGAACTTATGGTATCTTGTAGTCTTGCAGTTGTATGCTTGGGTTGGGATTTAATTTTATTTATTATAGAATCCCAAGTAGATGGTAGCACCCAGCCATCTTCTCTATTGAAATTAGGATGTTTTTTGATTTAAATAGCCTCGCGAATCATCCTTGGAAGGAATCGGTGTTTTTAGCGAGGATTTGTGGTCTATCAAATCTGATGTAGTGACGGGGGCGATCCTGTACGTGTTCACAGACTGCAGACTACCCGGAGCGTCGATTCTTCACATCAGCTATATGTTCTTTAACGCGGGTTTTAATTGATCTTTTAGTTTGTCCTATGTAGGAGAGACCACATTCACAATCAAGCTTGTACACTCCTGCATCTAACAGAGGGACATTACACTTGACTGATGGTAAAAACTGACCAATCTTCTTCAATGGCTTGAAGTATGTTTTGATGGAAGCGCGCTTCAAGATGTAGCCAATCTTGTCAGTGACTCCTCTAACATATGGCAGTACAGCAGTACACGCTTGACTGTGGCCGGCTTCACTCGTTCACTGTGACGTAGGCGCGGGACCCGAATGCTTGTTGTCATGCAAAACTTGCTTGACATGGTGGAGCTCGGCAGCCAGGTGTTTACTGTTACAGATCCCTCGTGCTCTCTGAAACAAAGATTTACCCATGGTAGCTAACTGTGAAAGATTATGGAGAGAATCACCGTTTAAATATCTATCTGTATGGGTCTTTTTTCTATACACAGTATGGCTCAAGGTGTTATCAGGATTCCGAATTACTAACACATCTAGAAAAGCTAAGGAATTCTTTGCCTCTATTAACTCCATTGTGAACTGAATTTTAGAATTCATAGAGTTAAGATGGTCTAAAAATGCAGTTACTTTATCTAAAGGTAGAATTGTGAAAGTGTCGTCTACGTACCGCTTGTAGAATCTTGGATTTATAGGAGAAGTAAGCAGGGCTTTCTCCTCAAAATCTTCCATGAATATGTTGGCGACAATGGGAAATACAGGTGAGCCCATCGCCACACCATCTACTTGCTTGTAGAACTCCTCCTTCCACAATAGGTAGCGAGATGTAAGGCAGTGTCTGAGTAATACTGCATATTCTACTGGCATGTTGTTTTCTTCCAGCCTTATAGTTACAATTAAGATGCAGTCTTCAACAGGTAAGCATGTAAACAATGACTGAACATCAAAACTGACCATAGTTTCATTGTTTGCCATATGTAGGTCTTTTATCTCGCTGACAAAATGGTAGGAATCCTTTATATGTGCGCTTGTATGTCCCCTGAGCGGTGAGAGTATTTTCGCTAAGTGTTGAGCCAATCTGTAAGTTGGTGAATCGATTTGGCTCACTATTAGACGTAATGGGGCATTGGGCTTGTGTAATTTTGTTAACCCATACAATTTTGGTGATTTGGCGCACGTAGGTATTATCCATTTTACGTCCAGATTTAATTTTTCGGTGTGTTTATTATGAGGTTAATTGTTGTTAGTGTGCAATTTGTTGGGTCGTTTTTCACCTTTTTATAAGTACTTACATCCGACAAAAGTTCTTGTATTTTAGAATTATAATCTGACGTATCCATGACTACCGTGGCGTTTCCCTTATCTGCACGGAGAATCGTAAGTTCTGGTTTATTGCGTAGGTTCTTTAACGCTATAAATTCGTCTTTGGGAAGATTCGGTTTAGGCACTGAACATCGACGTAACATATCCTGCATGTCTTACTAGATTGGCACTCCATCTAATGGGGGTCGCCCTGCATTTAACCCACCAGTACGAGGTTGCCACTCGAGAACCTTTTTCCTCCCATCGGTTGTCACTGCCATTGAAGCCTTTTTATGCTATTACTTTTTATTTCGAGGCATTTTTTTAGATTAATTTTCCTTGGTGGTTTGTTCGATTTTATATGTTTTAGAGCCATGCTGTAGTTATATTAGTAGTATAGTTGTCGTTAATCGTGCTGATTGGGTCTTCTCGATCGGGAAAAGACCACGCTCTCACAGAATACCTGCGTAAAATAGTAGCTCAATGTTGCTGTGTTTCGTATGGTGAGTGTAAAGAACCGGAGACTCTTTTTACTTGAACCGAGGCATTCCATCTTAGCACTCATGGGTGACATCACTTTTGCATTTTGATTCGTAATCGAGGATAGATGTGTGCTCGTGTGTCACCGTATCCTATTAAAAAAATACGGTCGTTTTTGTGCCGCGCCGCCTCTGTATGTGCCGCATTTTCTCACAGGTGCGACATTAAAGTTCGTACTGTAAAGCACCCGAAACTTCGGGAATCAACGGTCAAAATTTAACACGATAAAACCCGTAAAATTAGTTTCATTTAATGTGTAGTGTTCGCGTAAATACAAGAAGTCATAATTGTAAAACTTGTTGAAATTCTAAAATATATTCAAGAAGAATAATATTGGGTCAAGGTTTATAATGAGACTATTTAATCTATTGATATAATTACAGCTAGACATTACCTCCCTCAAGTTCAAGGTTGGTACAGAAGTATCGACTAACTTTCTTTTATATTAATTGCGGTATGAAATATGATTTATCAAAATGTTCGGAGTAACTGGTGCTCTGAACTAAATCATATTTATCAAAATGTTTCATCAAAACGGACTCGTTTAGGTATCCAAGATTCGTGATTTCTACCAGCTGTAATCCAAGTCTGCCGCTTAAGAGGAGCTTTTGGGAATAGGTAAAATCAATCCTTATGCACAGGTTTAAGGATATAGGTATAAGGGGTAATCACTTAGATTTATTTAAAGACTATCTTGAGGATCGCAAGCAGAAAGTAAAGAAAGGTGAATACTCAGGCGATAAATCAGATATAACATTCGGAGTTTCACATGGCAGTTTCCTGGGTCCTACTTTGTTTTTAATCTACATAAATAATTCAACCGGCATGAACATTAACGAGGGCATCATAATTTCCTAAGCAGATGATACTGTAGTAATATTTACTGGTGACTCCTGGGATCTGCTGAAGAAGGCCTTACTAGGATCGCTATGTGGCGGAACATTAACCTACTTACTTTAAATACTATGAAAACTAGTTACGAGTATATATGTTTTACAAATTATATTAGCCTAATATTAATTTACAAATTAAACCTCACACATGCTATGATTCCTTAAGTACTAGTACAGCTGTTCATTAATTAGTAAGGTCTCTGAGAACAACTATTTAGAAGTCATAGTTTACCGACATTTGTCATGGCGTAGACATATCGAATTAATCATGAATAGACTTAGAAAACTTACATGGACATTTAAAATACTAAGACGAAAAAGGTACTTCACTAAATATATTGGTTTGGCTTAATCTATTTTAGTATACTTTAATTCTGTATGGAGTGGAGCTACAAAAACCAAATTTCTAGAAGTTGAAAGGGCACAGAGAAATTTACTAAAAACTATGCATTTTATATGTTGTATGTGCGCCCATAACTACTGAGCCCGTGTTGTATAAAATATTCAGCATTACCAGTCGCGGCACGTAAGTCAAGCGCTGAACGAAACGTAGAGGGTATAGCTGCGCACGTCGTATCTGTACGCCAATAGCCGTAGCCGTATGCAAGTATCAGAAACTAATCAGCGCGTGCGAACTAACAATATGCACAACAAATCAGCGATATGCACGCCCGCCCCTCGACCCACTTACTATCCCATGATACCTTATTTTCGACATATGCACAATAACAGTCACGACTAGACTTTCCTGCCGCTACAATAAACATAACTTTTAAAGTTATGTGGTTCGTAAGAATTATAATATTCGCTAAAAGTTGCTTTAACATATTAGAAACTTTTTCTATACGATAATTACAATTGAATTTGTTAACTATAACAAGACCAAGATAATATATCTGCGTGTCCACAGTTACTATTAGAGGACAATCGCATGTTACTACGTCAGGCTATGCAAGCAGTTACGGTTGTGTGAAACTATGTTTTTGGCAGGATGGCGCTTGATGTGCGGAGACTTGATAACAGTTTCTTTTGGTATTTAGTACTAGAGCGAGATTATGGCACCATCTTAGCGACATTATGGCACCATCTTATTAAATAATCTATTTTAGACTGCAGAAGTTTAAGCGATCATGCGGGGAGATCTGTTCACGATTTTGCCTTGGCTTATGGTCTGACACAACTGGTTACTTCGCCTACGCGGATTCCAGATGTGGAGGATCAT